CCCCGCGGCCCTCCGCAGCCCCTCCCGGGGCGCCCTCACCTCAGGCCGACAGACTCCGACGTCGCGGACCAGCGCCCCTGTGCGCCCACAGCGGCGCATGCGCAGAGGCCGGCGCGGGCCGTTTCCCAGAAGCCTTCGCGCCTCTCTGGAAGAGCGTCACGAGGCTTGTAAACATGGCAGAGCGCGAGGCCCTGGCGCTCAGCAGACTGCGCTTCCCGGACAGCCTAGGACTGGTTAAGGCTCGCCTCGAAGGGCTGGCGAGTGGGCTAGCTGTTTTCCTCAACCAATTCCTCAAGGCTTTGCTAAAGTGAGCGCTTTGTGTTCCAGGAGGAGAGGGGCGCCCCGAGCCCCCAAACCTGCCCCTCTAAGTAGGTTCTGCCATAGCCTCACCAAAACCAAGCATATAAGCATATAAGGCCTTTAAGGGAAAGGGACGTTACTACAATGAGTGTGCAGTGCAGACAAGACAAAGAGTCTAGTTTCTAAACCAAACCCTCAAAGTCGCCCTCCCCTCGTGGGTTGAAGCCCCCCCAAAAGGGACTGGCATGCAAGTGGGGCTCAGCCAGGCACTGCCAGCCCCTCCCTGGGCCCTGAGACCACAGTTCAGCTCACCCAACACTCGGGGAGAGTTTGCTTTACCCCTTGGGAGAGCCCTGGGAGGAAGCACCTGCCGTCTCCACACAGGCTGTGCTTGGGGGGCCGTGCCAGGCCATGGGGGACACAGCTGCTGGGCCCCGGGTAGGGAGCACAAGCCGCAGCCCCCAGGCCCAGGCTCCTCAGGGAAGGAGCCTCGCTGGGCCTCTGCGGAGCCACAGGGCGGTCCCACAGCGCCCCCTGCTGGTCTCAGGGCGGCACTCATCGCGGCCCAAGCCCGGAGAGCCGGCTTTGCCCAGCCACCAGGCCCTGACCCTCGCACGCCCCAGGTCTGACCCCAGGTGTGGTGATTCCAGGACACTGTGCAGGCTACTGTAGGCTCTCGTCCCAGAGGCGTCCTCGTCCATGAAGGTGCAGACATGCTTATGGAACAAATTTTGCGTGCACACCAGAAAAGATGAAACAATCCAGAGCTGCATCACGGCAGGTGCCAAAGATGGTTGGACTGGCTGAAGGACTTTAGAGGAAGCTCAGGTGAGAAGCACAGAATGGAATCTTCCAGGAGCAAGTGAATGACATATTCAAAAGAAAACAGTTCAGCAAATGTTTCTAAATATTTCGTTTTATGTCTAGATTAAATTTAGTGATTGCTTTCAATAAAGGCTCTGGAATCCCTAACACCTGTGAATACTCTAATATAATCCTTGAATGTGTTAAATGATCTTATATTCATTCATTTATTTTAAAGTGTATTTATTTATGCACACAAGAACTGGGGTACAGACCAGAGGTGCAGGGGGATGGTGAGATTCACTAGAGACAGAGACAGGAGCAGAACAGGCATTTCGATGAAGCACACTGCTGAGGGGAGCAGCGGGTAGAGCAGGAGAGGTCTGCCGCGCCCTGGGGGTCACCGCCGGGGCGGGGTGGAACTCATGCTGCCATGGCTGTGAACAGCTCCATAGTGCTGCGTTTTAACCCATCATGTCACCAGGGAGGGCCTGATTGACCTTTTAAGTTTGGCTCGTAGTGTCCATGTCATATGTTTTTGTCAGGATTTTGATTCATATACAAAATGTTTGTATAGAAATTTTTCTCCCAGGCTAAGAGAATACAATTCAGATGGAGTGTTACATTTTCAGATGAAAATATAACATTTAAAACGTTCCCTGTATACATCAGTGTGGAGTCCTGCCCTGGCTGTAGGTGATTCCACGGGATCAGGCCATGGTGTTCGGATCTTGTTTGAGGTCTACGCCTTGTCTGCCTAATAAATGGGGGAGCAGAAGAAGAGACGGATGATGCATAGTGCCTTTCCAGCTGAATGCCACAGACTGGACTCAAAAAAAGTCCGGCCCACATCATGTTTTAGCCCAGGTGATCTCAAATGGGGTGACATCCCAGCCCCCCAGTGTATATTGGGAGCTTTTGAAGGTGTTTTTATGGGGGGGTTGCCACTGGCCTGTACTGTGTGGTGCCATATTACACGTTTAAAGTCCCCCCTGCACAGTGCAGCCCGCTCTGCCCGAGTCCCGTGGCACTCTTTGCTAGATCATGTCCATGAAGTACTTGCAAAAGAAACAAAATCACCCATCAAGATCTGGGGAGAGGATCTGAAAGAACAATCAGGGACTTAGGAACATATAATCTCAACACAAACTTGACAGTTGAGGGCACACCCAGGCGGGGTTTGAGGAGTTTTGGTCTCACTTCCCCGCCCGTCTGGGGCACTGCGAGCTATAACTGCTATTGTCGTAAGCCTGACAGTAGTAGTCGGCCTGGTCCTCGGGCTGCAGCCCGGAGATGGTCAGGGCGGCGGCATGGAGGAGCTGTCGATGGAGCCAGAGAACCGACCGGGGACCCCTGAGGGTCTCTGGTCATCAGCATAGATCACAGTGCTGGAGGCGCCGCGCGGGCGCCGCTGGTACCAGAACACAGCCATCTTCAATGTCACCGCTGCTGCGGGTGCAGGAGATGGTGACCGTCTGCCCCACAGACCCCGACACTGAGCGGGGCTGGGTCAGCTCAAACTGGGCCCAGGACCCTGCGGGGAGAAGGGGGCAGCACAGGGGTCACTGAGGACGGACATGCCACAGCTCCAGGGAGGAAAGGTCATCATTTTTAGTGAAACCCAGGTTCCCTCCCAGAATCCCATGCAGAATGCACCTGTGCAGTGAGCAAGGAGGGTGAGGAGGAGAGGTGCCCAGGCCATGGTGTTATGCCCTGGCTCTGCTTCCTGAGCCCACAGCCAGAACTGAGCCGAACCATTCTTAGAAGTCACCTTCATGCACAGGGTGGTCTCAATGCAAATCTTCCCCTCTCACAGAGCTGTGCAAGCCCTGCCTTCAAGCGCCTAAGTTGTGCAACAGTTGTGCAACGGCTGAGTAGACCAGGACTGGGGAGGGCGTTAGCCCGGGAGATGCACCTGCGTGGAGGCCTGCCACAGGAGCTCCCAGCTCAGGAACTGGGGAGACCTGCGCCCTCTGGTGGCTGCAGGAGAGAGCACCCCAGTCGCCTGTCCCCTCTCCCATCTCAGGGCTCACCCCCACACCTCTGGCCTACACCCCACATCTTCTAATAAAAAAACAAAAGAAAGAACTCACTAAGAAAGATTAAAAGTTGAAAATGATTGAACATTTGTATGAAGGGATACTGTATGGACTTCTGAGGCCTTTAAGTACAATCTTTCGCTGACTTAAAAATCACTGAATCAACTCTTCCCACTGAAAAGCCAATTTTGAGAATTCAGCTGATTGCATTAAAATGGAAACATGGGGCCCTCCCTGGTGGTGCAGCACCAGAGTGGGGCAAAGTCCACTGCTGAGGGGAGCAGTGGGAGGGTCAGGAGAGGTCTGCGGTGCCCTGGGGGTCTCCTCAGGGCAGGGATCGAGCTCGTGCTGCAGGGGCTTCAGCTTCTCGGTGCTGTGCTTTAGCCCGCTGCGCCCCAGGGAGGCCCTGCAGATGCTTTTGTGGTGGACAGAAGTTCCCCTCACTCTCTCCAACACCAAATACTGAGTCTGTGACCATCATCCGGGTTAGCACCAGCCAACCCCTTCAAAATGCTAACTTTCTGAGATCTACTTGTAACCCCGATTGCCTGTGGTCCAGGGGTTCCAAACAAATGACCCCAGGGTTATGAGGGAAAAAAGAGGCCCCAATGAACAAAGAAACATCTTGTTATTTTCAACTTTATTGCCAACTTAAAACTTCATTATAAAACTTATCAAATAAACATGTCAAAAAATTAAAAACAAGTCATAGCTGATGGTGAGAAACTGCAGGCGTGTTGGCAGCAGACTCTTCCACTGCGGGAGAGAATGTCCTCCTTCCTCCTCCCATTTCCCCGGCGGGTCTTGCAGAATACTCCTGCACCCCACTTCTGACGCCAGGACAAACCCTGCCCGTGCACATCCGTACTCATGCAACGCTGACAATGTCACCAGAACAGCGTCTTACAGACTACGGGTGCACGCCAGCCCCAGGACGGCGTCAACGAAACTAAGTCATGTCCACCTCAAATCACAGTGTAGAGCAACTCGGATCTAAATGGCTTGGATGTAAAATGTATCATCAGAAACCCACACATATACAATGTATGTATGCATTCCCCTATGTTTAAGACAGGGAGAGTATACTTCACTTTGAATACAAAAGTTTAGTTAAGCTTGCTATATTCCTTTATAGAACAATCGAGACTACATAAATGACTAGGATTTAATGGCGGAAGCTACCTTACACAATTCTATTAAACTAAGAGATTTTAAACTAGTAAATTGTTTTTAGGTGAATAGACTTCCAAGAAGTAAGAGTCTTGTAAATATAAAGGTTATACAAAATACAGTATAAAACTGCACAAGCTAAAACAGTAGCAAAAACACGATTTAATTAAAAAAGGCAAAAACATACAAAAATATGAGCCTGTAACGGCAAATTTTCAAACACCAATCTGGGTAAAAATGTTTAAATAGTGATGTTACTCTACAAATATATATTTATGCTCTTTTTCCTATCTGCAGCAGTTTGCAAAAGCAAACACACATGTGCAGCTGAGGTAGCAAAGCCGGATTCACAAACTTTGGATTAGAAACAGCATCTTTTATACAATATGAAGTGAATTCTGATGGTTGTAAAATGTTCAATTCACATGTATCACTTTACAAAACTGAAAACACTGAAAATGTTTTTGCTAGAAAGATACTTAGTCCTGATAATTATCTCACATTCAAAATACTGTACAGAAAAAATCTGAAGTCACCATATATTACATAAAAGCTATATATTTACATTTTAAATGCAGTTTTGGAAGCTGAGGTGAAGCAAACTGCCACTGCTGCTGCCCTCACAGTGTCTGCTGGCAATCTCCCAGCCCCTTTCACAGGTTTACTTCCAAATCAAATAAGTCGTAAACGATTACATTTAAAGGGAAACAATAAATCGTAGGTGGATCCTGAATGCAACTGTTTTCCTTTAAGAAAAACCAACTGGCAAGAAAGCGAGTAGTTGAGAAGCAACCAAAAACCATAAACGTGAGTAGCATCCTTTTCAGTGCATGTATGAGACTGTTTTCAGGTTTTTAAGGATTAAAACTTTCCTCCTGGAATACAGGTCCCACCGACCTTCCTTGGTGTGGACTGTCTGACTGAATAAAATGAGCACAGCTACGAAAAGATGTGTTACTTGGCTCTAAAGTCCTGACTCGGAAAGAAAAGAAAACGTGAAGACCCCGTCAGCGGGTGACGGTGGGTCCCCTGGGCCCTCTGGCTGCTGGCGCAGGGGGCGGAGGCCGGCGCGGCTCAGTACACGTAGGGGAGGATGCGGTAGGGCACGCGCTGGCAGTACTTGTCCCAGGCCAGGCCGTACTTCCTCCGGCAGCTGTGCTCGTCGCGCGCCTCCCGGTGGACAAGCAACATGGTGAAGTAGATCACGTAGAAATAAGGCAGAATGTGATTAAAGCCTGGAGACAACAGCAGGAGCCGCGTTAGGTGGCTTCAGGGACCACAGGACTAAGTTTTTCTTGCTTTTCCACAAATCCCCTTAGGCATGAACCATGACAGGGCTCCACTTTGCCAGCAACAGGAAAGCAGCTCGCCCACGGAGCAGGACCCGCGCTGTGGGGAGGGTCGTGCATGAGCTAGCAGAGGAGTGACCAGCCCGGTCTGACGACTGTCGGGCTCCCTCCCCCCCTCCGTGGAGAACACTGCCGACCGCTTGGGGGGCGGGGTGCAGCAGAGCGCAGGCGGCGCCACGGTCCCTTCCACACTAGTGGAAACACACACAACACAGAAGTGTCTCCTGAAGGACCAGAGTGTGTCAGAATCTAGGTACACTGAGCCATTAATAAAAATGTATATCCCTATATTCTGCTCAGAAAAAAAGCTTTTAGGCAGTTTAAAACTATTTTGCTTTCAGAAATGTGGAGAGAAGTTCAGGCGGTGCAGGCCCTAACTTCCCTCAGAAGCAAGGTAATGAAGGGCTGCGTGTCAGGGCGCAGCGCTCAGGGCAGCAGCATGGCAGCCCCGACCTGACCGGGGCAGCGGGCTGGCGGCAACTCGCCCGCACGGTCCCCTCAGAGGCCCCCCACGCCGAGCAGGCGGAGCGAGCATCCTCCTGACCACTCACCACACGGGAGAGACCACGCCAGAGCCATGATGAGATCGCCCAGGTAATTGGGGTGACGAACAAAGCCCCACCATCCAGAAACCAGAAGACTTTTTCCCGTTGAAGTATGAATGGTCTTTAAGTCTACACAAAAATGAAAGTACTGTTTTAGTGACCTCTGTACAGACAGAAACATGACATGTAAATGCAAATCGTGTACTGGAAACACACTTACGTGCAAGCTTTGGATCAGTGGGGTTTTTCCGGAACGCATTTTTCTGTGAATTTGCACATCGGAAGATTACGTATCCACAAACTGTAATTTTTTAGAAGTTTCATGTTAACAATTTAGATACAGAAAAGTATTTAAAGGCATCTTCAACTTCACTGAGAGAGTATTCTAACATCTGAGGAAGTCTCCAAAGTACAGCATAGTTTGATTTCTTAAGAACAATTCAAAACGGGCCCTCCCTGGTGCACCGAGACTAGAGTCAATACTCACGTTTCAGAGCAATAATCAGAGAAGCCAGGGGCCAAGACACTTCATTTGGATGCTTGACTAGGTAAAAGGCTTGGAGGCTGTAGATAAATGGAACCCACACTAAATCTCCAAAAGCCAGCATAAATCCAAAACCATCATGGATAATATCCATGGTTGTCAATACTGCCTCCTGTGGAGAGAGGGGAAAGAAATGTTCACGACACTTTGGGGGAGAAAACTTCGAAGTTTAAAGTACCCAAATAAAGCACTAGTGTGTAGTGATAGAGTGAAACGTCTAAAGGGCTGTGGGCGGCACAGCTCGCCGAGGCGGGAGACGGGCTCCCGGGCGCGTGTCACCGAGTCACTCTGCCGGCTTCCTCTCCTGTACTCTCGGCTGACACCCGAGACAGCAGTCAGAAGCGGTTCCTATGCCGCTGCACCTTTGCCCGGCCGTCCCTCTCCAGGCTGGACACCGCCTGCTCCCGAAGCAGCTCCCTGACCGCTCACGGCAGACTGGGCATCCCAAACGCTGCCACCGCGGGAGACTAGAGCGAAGGTGCCAGGTCTGGCTGGCCAGAGCAGCCTCTGCCTGAGTGTCGCCTGAGCCGCACCAGCAACTGCACATGCCTGCCAACGGCTGCTGAAGGCGTAAGAGCCATCAACTCCCTCTGCTTATTTTTCATGTTGAAAAATAAGAAAGTAAGCTTGCTGGCAACATGGTGAACCCCTCATGGTAAATTAAGACATGAATGGCCCCTCCTAGAGGAGCTGGGAGCATGAACAAGTAGCCAGATCATGTCTGGACCTGGATGCCTGAGGGCCAGATCTGGAATGTGGAGACACCACCAAAGTCAAAACTCAGAATGTCAGACCTGAGTTACCTTGAACTTCAGAACACACTGCAATGTACAAAAAGATTTGGTTTAAATTCGGTTGGGGAATCAGTGTTCGTGGTTAAAAAAAAAAAGTGACATCTCCAAGGGACATTCTTCCCTCGGAAAGCAAGCACAATGATTGTGGGTCAGAAAATGGGCTCGCAAGCCCAGTGGTCCTGAAGCTCCCACTTCAGCCAGGAGTGTCTAGTCTGAAGCAGACTCACAAGACCAGGCCGGATCAAGGTAAAGGTGTTCTTAAAAGGATGAGAGTGGATAAAAAAGATGCAGTGGTAACTGGATGTAACTGGAGACAGAAGCCAGGAAGAGCCAGCCCCCAACGCTCAGGGCTAAGGACAGCCCAGCAGGGCTCAGGTGCAGGTTACTTAACCTTAAACACTGCCTCACTTCCTCACAGCTTGTGTGTGGCAGAATTTCAATGAACAGCAAGAAATCACCAAGCAGGTACCAGTCAGCGTGCCAGGCGCTAGAGAGCCACAGCCTGCAGTCCCACCCTCAAGTCCACAGCACCCCCCCCAGCTGAGACACTCACAGCACCCAGAAAACACCAACTTCCCAACTCCAACCCTCTGCCTGTGAAGAGTGCCTTGGTATCCAAACATTTTCTGTTAACAAACAGAAGTCAATGTTTGGCTAAATCTCTAGAAAAATATTTATTTCTAAGCCACTTAAAAAGTGACTGCCCCAGTAGGACAGAAATCGAGAAGGAGAAGACCAGAAGGAAAGAATTCGTGTCATCTGAAAAGCATCAGAGAGCAAGCTTAGAAAGAACTCTGAGGTGGCAAAGCAGCAGGGAAGCATCGTTTGGCATATTAGCCGGGCAGCTTCACGCAGCCTGGACCTGGACTACCTGTAAACGGGACCTGGCTGCCTCAAGGTCCTGGTCCTCCCAAAGAAAAACACCATCAAAATACTGAGTCTCCAAAGTCGTTTTCAAGACTTTCCTCTATGTAAGGCCAAAATCAGAGACCAGTCTATGTGTGCTGGGGGGAGGGTACAATATTGATGACACAAAAAAAATTTTTTTAAAGAACACCCCTACACAAAGCAGAGGACACCGTTCGAAAAACGTTAACAGACTACCATGCAAACTTGTCTTGGAATATTACACGCTGCCACTTTTGTCTTTAAAACTGAAAGATATGACTCAATTTGGAATTTGGAGATGATTACAAGCCTAACTAAATATGCTAAAAGAATTGTAAAACAGGCCTGAGGAAAAAATAATTTTTAATATGTTTAGCTAAGACATAGATAAGCAAATTACTTATTGGGTCTCCAAGTAGCAGAAAACTACAATGACTTCTCAATGTTTGGGAGAAAGCCATAAAGGAACTTAGCTTTATTCAAACTGGCTCCCTCAATGTGTCACAACTTCTGATTTTATGTCCATTTCATAGCACTAGTCTCTGTAGTGTGAACCACCAACCATAAAACATCTCACCATGATTTAAGAACTAGCTACCTCTTCACAATCCAAAAGATACTATTCTAATTTGAGTATCTATTCACCTACTTTCATATAGTAATTAAGAAATTAAATTCTATTTAGAGTCAGTCAAATCCATAAAGCCAAGATCCACAGATCTCAGAATATTTAGCACCTATAAAGAGCAGCTGATTCACAGGAAGTATCGCCAAATCTCTGGTCAGCAACACTCAGCCACAGGCCAGCATCTCACTTAGCTACAAGCCCTGCAAGTAGGCTGAGGGTCAGGGAAGTCAGGTCACACCCACGAAGACTGCAGATGCCAAGGCATCTGCTCTTAAAATTAATTCCCTCGTGGCCCTCCCTGGTGGCTCGGCGGGTTAAAGCACTGCACTAAGAAGCTAAAGCCACTTCAGCATGAGTTCGATCCCCGCCTGCCCCAGAGGTGACCACATGGCGTGACAGACCTCTCCTGACCTGCCCGCTGCTCCCCTCAGCAGTGTACTTCATCTATCTGCCTGTTCTGCTCCCCGCTCTGTCTCTGGTGAATCCCCTCACCCTCCGCATCTCTGGCCTGTACCCCAGTTCTATTGAATAAATAAAATCTTAAAAAAAAAAATTAATTACCTCGTTCCAGAGAGCATCCACTACGTATAAAAGCTGGAAACTGGTAACCAAAATCATTGCTAAGGATGGGACGGCACGATTATATACTTTCATCTCAGTCAAAAGCATCACCAGGTTAATAACCACCTGAAAAAAAAGGAACAAATATGTCTCAAAGTGCCTCCCCCAGGATCACTGGCAACCAGAGGGAACGATGCTGACTCCCAGGCGAGAAACCTGCAGAAGGTACGTGACCAAGTCATCACATCAGTAACCAGGCACATCACTATCACAAACTCCTCGATATGATGCACCGAAGACAGAACATCATTTCTGTAATACTCTTATAAATAGCCCACTCCAGTCCAGAAAAAAAAAACTGGACTAACCCAAACTAAGGGACTTGCATGAAACACCTGAACAATATTCTTCATACTGTCAAGGTCATGAGAGACTAGGAAAGGCCGGCAGGTGTTACAGACTAGAGACGACTACGGTACAATAACACTGAGAGGCACCGTGGAACCACACAGAAAACCCTGGAACAGAAACAGGTCAACAATGGAAAACCTGGGCTCGCTAAGTAAGATCTATGGGTTCAGATACAAGGACGCTGTGGCAGCGTCAGCGTGGCGACTGTACCGTCGCGCCAAGCGCTGGCGCTGGGGCAGAGCAGGCGCGCAGAGCGCCCTGTACAGCTCTCCTACAAGGCAAAGAGGTCAAAACATTTTTTCAGGAGGAGGAAAAACACAGTTTTTCTCACATAATTCACCTACACTATCATTTTCCTATACAAATACAAACTCATTTTATCAAAATGAAGCAAACCCTTTAACTTTTGTAATATTTAACAGGGCATTATAAGCCTCTGTGCTACATTCACAGTAAGAAAGCTTGACTTTAAGTAGAAGGTTATGGAAAGCTGTAGTTATTCCCCAAAACATATTTTATGTTAAAGTTGTGTACATTTCTTTCTAAATGCAAGACTAATTTGTACAACTAAATTAAATTAAAAAAAAAAAAAAAAAAAAAAAAAAAGACATACCCATCCAATCAATCCGGGGCGCAATTCACAAAAATATTTGAGATCAAAATTACCAATCCGAGGATTTAATTCACGGCCAATGAAGAAATCATAGATGGCATTTCCTGAGAAGGGAAAAGTTTTTACCCAAACAGAATTCCAAACCCAATTATGAGGCATCATTCCAAGGCTGTCTATTATCCAGAGTCATCATTCAACTGCTCAAGAGCTTGCCTGAGGGGTTTAGCGGGAGGTGGGGAGGCGGCTGCACCTGGAAGTACCTGCCCTGCTAGGCTCTAGGGGTCTGTAGGACCAAACACCCTGGTTTTAAGCAACCGGGAGGTTTTTATTTTGGATCAAAAAAAATCAGTCATATATTATGATGTTATTAACATTATTAAAATGTTACTGTAAGGTCCTAAATTGTCTTTCTGTAATCTAGGGACTAACAGAATAAAAAGAAGAGCAGTGAAGGGCAAAAAAAAAAAGAAAAGAAAAGAAACATACTTTCTTCCTTTAAATTTTTAAAAATCATCTTTTTTTTTCTTACTTCTCTTTATAAAGTCTCAGAAACTGAAGCTAGAAGAAAAGCAATCTACGTAAGTGCAGAAATGGCCGCGAAGTGCTGTGGACGCCTTCATGACAAGTTCTGCCCTGCTCACCAGAGCTCGCGGGCGACAGCTCGTCCCGGCGCGCTGCCAAAGCCCGGGTGTACAGGTAAACACTCAGCACCACAGCAAAAGCAGTGGCTGCGAGCGCCAGCTGCAGGAAATGACTGTGCACGTAACTCAGGTCCAGGCCCCAGAAAAGCGACGCTCCAACCCCTGCAGACGTCAGGATGAAGGCATAGAAACCTTAAGAAAGAAAAAGGCAAAATGTTAACATTGGCCCAGGTTTACACGAAATTTACACCCATAAAACAATCTAGTGCTGTTTTGAAAAATCCTAATTTCATTTTCAAGTCAATGCCTCTGAGGGCTAATCCTCAGTACAGATATTGTGTCTCTCTCATAACTGTTCATATGTTTTGACATTTTTCTTTTAAGATTTACTTATTTATTGATGCATATAGAACTGGGGTGCCGGCCACGGGTGTAGTGGGTTGACAGGATTCCCCAGAGACAGAGTGGGGAGCAGAACAGGCGGAATGACAAGGTACACTGCTGAGGGCAGCAGCGGGTGGGTCAGGAGAGGTCTGCCACACTGTGTGGGTCAGCTCTCTGGCCGGGGCTCAAACTCGTACTGCAGTGGCTTTGGAGAGCTTCATAATGCGGTGCTTTAACCCACTGTGCTACCAGGGAGAGCCCAATTTTGACTTTTTAAAAAGATTTGCTTTTATTTATTCATGCATACAAGAACTTAGGTGTAGGCCAGAGGTGTCAGGGGCAGGGGGTGAGAGAACTCCCCAGAGACAGAGTGGGGAGCAGGACAGGCGGGTCTACTGAAATATACTGCTGAGGGGAGCAGCGGGCAAACAGATGTCTGCTGCACCCTGTGGGTCACTCCCTGGTCGGGGATCCAACCAGGCAGCAGTGGCTGTGGACAGCTTTAGTCAGTAGCTGCTTTTAATTAATCTGAGAAAGACATAAAAAGTCCCAATATTAGAAAGCTGCAAAGAATGTCAAATGCGCATAGTCCAAACTCAGACCAAGTCAAATGGCTAACACATTTTACAGCCTTTAGGGAACTCCTGGGAAGCATTAAAATATAAATATTTTTACTTGAAATAACTTGCCAATAATAGTCTCAAAAATCCTAGTCACAGTTTGCCATCAAAATGGCTGTGAAAGGCCTTGCCCCCACGGCGGCAGCCGCAACACAGCCTCAGACAGGCGGGTACTGAGGGCTCACGGTGACGGGGCTCAGAGTCTGCTGGACCCGGAGGCTTTCAAGCACAATTCTAAACTTAAAAAAAACCCACGAAGCTCATAGAAGAGCTCTGGTTCCAAACACAGCCCGCTTGGTTTGACCGGTGCAACAAGTCCACACACTCATGGGCTAGCTGGCTTCTTTTAGCTACAGAAGTAGCTCTGCTTCAGCAGTTCAGCGCCTCCAAGAGCTGTGTTCTAAGTAAGTCGCCAAATTACAACGGATAATCAGTCAAATACAAAAAGAGGTAGCTATTACTTACCAAAGAATTCTAAAATCAAAACTGTTATCAAGTGAAGTGGCCATCTCTAATTTATTATTTAAATCTACACGTCCACATATCAGGCTCATTCCAAAGAGTAACTCCGAACTCCTGTAACTTTCCTTTAACTTTCTGAATACTGACTTAATCTCATAAAATACGTGAATATTTTAAAAAGGAATGATAAAGCACTCTCTGGCCTATGTGGAGTCAAAGTCCTCATTCAGCACTTCGAGGAATCTCCGTCGTCTGTAGCCAGAGTCAGAGCACCCAGCTAAGGCAGTATTTAAAGGATCAACCAACCAATACAGCCACTGCCAGCTGGCTCTTGCTGACGCATACTATGCTCACACGTAGTGAACTACTCAGAAAAGTATTACAGCAAGTCACACACTAGAGGGAACCTACAGAGCACTACTGTCAACAGAGCTGAGGCAATATATTAGACCCAGCTTCACGGGATCTGCAAGGCAAGAGTAAGACAGAGACAGTGACAGGAGAGACACCGAGACTCTAAACCTCGTTATAGCACCAAGGAATGCAGTCAAAGAAGTGAGACATCTGACACTAACAGCAAAATACGTGTTAAGCATCACAACAGGCCAGTGATGCTTTGCGTGCTTGGCACTTTAAGGCAGAAAGCAGATCTAAATTATCTTTGGCTTCCTCTTCAGAGTCCAGTAGAACAATCTCAGATAGAGTAGGTGCTAGACAGAAGACACTGAACAAAAAAATACCCCAAGTGAGAAAGGTCAGCAGTGATAGGGTTTAAAAAGGTCAAGAATTAAATTTATAACATAAGTCCCAAAAAAAGGTAAATATATGTCTACTCAACCTAGTTAACATGGAAAGTGTATAAGGATAAACTACCCTGCATTTCTTAAAGGCAAGTTACTTGCACTGTATCAAAGTCTTCATGCAGCAAAGTTGGGCTGGTTCTCACATGCTCCTCGCGGAGCTGAGGAGAGAGGGGCCAGAGGCTGCCTGAGCACGCTGTGACAGGATGCGGCAGGAATGATCAGGTATGTGGGGGAAGTTTCCCAGCCAAAGCACACTGAATGTATCAGAGACACATATCCAAGACCAAGCCCGGAAGTCAGCGGCAGGAGCAAAGCAACAGAGGCCCCAATGGTTGGCTGAGGGCGTGAAGCCCACAATCGGTGCAGGACTTCTTAAGCCCTAGTGATAAATCAGGATAAAATACTAAGACAGAAGACATATTTCAACTAGCGGTAAATGCTACTAAAACATAAGGCTGGACAGTGGGAAGAATGACGGGAGGCCATGTTAGTATCCACAGCATGCCTGCCACATGCTGACTACAGGGAAGCAGTTTATTTGTATGTCCTTCAAAGTAAGGACATAGTGTAATCAGTTTTTGAGTGTTTAAAGTGTACAACACTCAAAAGTTTGGGCTATCAACAAGAGTCTTTTTCAAAAATTACCATTTAATCTATACTTGAGTCTTCTTCCGTCAGCGAGAGGTGTCCCTTCCACAACCTTAAAAGAAAAAGTTTTCTTAATTTAAGAAGCACACTTTACCATCATATATATGCCTTCAAGTAGGGTTTAAATTTCAACATGCCCAAGGAGGAGACCATCTTTTAAAAGGGAAATTTAGCTTCAAATTTCGAAACTCTCAATGGTACACTCTTCAGTGACGCAATTCCACCTTCAGGAATTGATCTTAAATTGAAATCTAATGATAACTCTCAGCATATGGAAACGCCTGCGGTGGCCACCCTCCCTCCAACTACCTCATGTGCCACTAGACTAAATGTGCTTTAAAGTAGAAAACCTCTGCAGCTTCTGGATCTCTGATTCAAAAATCTTCTACAACTTTCCCTTACTTAGATAAAGGGCAGGTTTATCTTACATTTGCAGGTCCTTTTCAATCAGGCTTTACCCTATTTAGCCAATCGACACTGGCCCATGTGATATTTGATATGTACTCAGCTGTTTACCAGCTCTACTATTGATACATATGCTCACCCAGTTATTCAATCATTGTTTTTATCTTCAATAAGAGGCTGTGAGCGCACCTACGATCATTTCAACTCTTTGGAGTCATCCACAGTATTCAGTAGAGACAGATACCATGCAAAAGGTGCTCAAGAAATACACAACTTGAAACCGAAGAATCATATTAAAAACACTTGCAGCAGCAAGTCACATTTTAACTCCCAAAATAGCTATTCAAAAATGTTACAAATCACTTTCAACTGCAAAATACTAACATGGTATTGTTTTTCTTGGCTAAACTACTTTACTCTCTCATTAGTGAAGAAAGGGAACCCAGGAGAAATTTAATACCTGTCTGAGAGCACAGGGTTAGTCAAACCCCACATGCTGATTTCTATCAATCCTCATCTACTAGAGGTAACAAATGCTGCGTTGGGTTTTAGTCTGTGAGGACACATATGTAAGTTTTTAACCATCAAAACTGCTTACTAAATATCTAGTTTAAACCAGTCGTACCCCATGTTAACCTGAATTTTATTGTAGTTTTACCATAAATGCCTGCAGAGCCACCTCACAGAACTCCTTACTAGAGTCAACATTACTATGGTGAGCTGCGAAGATGTCCGAGTCTGCAGTCCCACCTTCTTACCATTGGCATTGGCCTATTCGAATAAAACCGCTCCTTTGGTTTAGGGACAGCTGATTAACTTGCAAAGTCCTTGATAGGATCTCTAAATGAATTATTTATTCTCTAGGGAACCTCATGTTCCTTTAAATATACCCCAGTTAACATATTCTACTACTGAAAGAAAAACTACATTTAGCAATGAGAACAAATTTAAATACACTGCATGAGTTTTAAAAGAACAAACACATTGCTGACAGCAAATCTCTGAAATTCACCGCATTAAGAAAAAAAGTAAAAGATACAAACAAGTTCATTAATAATTTAACATTCTGTGTCTGAACTAGAATTTTCAGACAGGGTTTGTTTTGTTTTGTTTTGTTTTGTTTTAACCAGCAAACTCTCCTACTAGGCTATTTTACAAAATAACTTATTCTTTCCTATTTGGTTTGAAAGGTTATACCAAAAACCTCAAATAGACTTTGAAGTTCTGTTTAATAAGGTGTTACAGGACAGAAAAGTAATGGCTTAATAAACTAAAGTTGTGCTTTCAGTAGTTATAGCTAAAGACAACTCTTAACCTTGAAGCTACTGTACATTTCTTTATGTAAACAGAAGAGAAGGAAGGAAAATCTCTCATACTATTATGCCAGAACAAAAACTTACCTTCCCTATTGGCAGTAAATAAAGCAGAGACTGAAGGAAAAACCAGAGTAGGTAAACTCCAAAAACTCTGGTTTCCCATAAGCCAGACAAAGCTGGCAAGGGAGGCGGGAAATTCAGAAGACTGGGATCCCTCTGCTGACACATCAACAGCAACAGGAAGAGGAAGACAGGCAGGCCAAGCATGATGAGAGACACACCTGCAACGACCAGCACAGACTCAGGCTCCCATTGCAACCCCGTTTTATTTTCATTAAGGTCAAAATTCAAGTCTGGCTAAGTCAGCTTCTAATGTCCATCAAATAGCTCCTATTCTCCACCTGTCAGATCCAGGGGGCAAGTAACCAACGACATTAACGTGGTAAAACAGCAGATGTCCAGCTAAACTACACTTCAGAAACCAAGTTCTACATTTATAAGCCACCCACTACGCAAATGTATTGGAAGATCAGAGCATCTAAAACCATTAGCCAAAGTTTAAAATAGCTTTAGGTCTCTACGCTTCTACCAGTTATGATGATATCACATGCAAGAAACATGCACAGATTTCAAGTGCAGCTGGACAGTGACTTTAACAGCCCCGCTACCAAGCGTTTTCACTCACAAAGTACGAAGTGACTAAGCCAGACAAGATTTTCAAACATTGGTACTCCGTTTCTTTTACTAACGCATTACGTTTCACCAGTTCCACCTACTTAATACTCCGTATCTTTGAAGACCTGACAATCTTTTGACCCTCACGCTCAACGTGTCTAGCAGACAGGCTAGACTCCACGACTTGGTTTTATGCAGAGCGCTGCTTCCCACTGTTCCTGCCCAAGACAGGCCCGGCAGCCTCAGGGTTGATTATTAGCAGATTCCTGTGTTTCTGATAGTTCACCCTCTCTCCTATTTACAGCAATCATGATAACCTTGCCTTTATCACTTCTTTACATGTCTCTGCCCAAAACCTATTAATAGGTGGCTACAATCCAACCAAAGCTGCATGAGCACCCTTGCTGCTCTAGAATAACCCTCAAAAATACTCGCTCCTCAGGCCTTTGCACCCGCAGCTCCTTCCAACTCTGAGCTATTTGCCCCCGGGCTCCCCAAACCCATTTCCTGCACTGTGTGACACGTCAGAGAGCGGCCTTCCCTGTGCACCTGATGGCAGCAACCACCGCTCTCCTGCCCTGCCTGACCTCCTCGGAGCCAACGGGATGCCTACCAGGTACTCCTCCGAACTCCAAATCTTTCTTCTGTGTGGATGGCACTTCAAAGGTTCTCAGCGACGTAGGTCCTTTAGTAACAGCCTTTTCTTCCTTAAAATCAATGTCTTTTAATTTGATCTCCTCTCTTCTCGGACGAAGGCTGTACTGTGTAGATATGTAACTACTTTCTTGTGACAAATGGAATTTTTCCTAGTGAAAAAAGTAAAACTATATTAAGTAAGTGTAGACAATAATTATCACTAATAGTACCACATTAACTAATTCAGCATCTTAATACAGCTACATACTAGCAAAAGTACTGGGACACAATTTTAGAAAAGCGTGAAAGAAAATACTGTGGTTTTCAATGTGCTTCTTTAGGGAAAGTCACTTTAATAAGGAAAACAGTTACCTGCGATGAGGATAACACCCTGCATACCTGTGTGTTTCTGTGGGGCATGTCATTCCTCTCTATGTGCTCAGGCTCCCCATTGTGGCTGCTAATGCTGTTTCCAAATGGTTTCTAGATTGAAGAACATGGAGCATTTTAACCTTAAGAACATGACAGAAAATTAAATCTAAAAGGAACATGATGTCCAGAGTCTTAATCCTGAAGCATTTTAGCCAGCTTTCACCAAAAGCAGAAAAGAATAAACTTAACTAAATTTTGGGTCTTACAATGTAATTTCTACATAAGATCTTTCATCTTTGAGATGTAATTAGACTATTATAATTTCATTGTTCAACAGCAGAGAATCTAGTATTTTTAAGTAAAGTAAAAATCAATATATTAGATCACTGTTTTTATTTTAATAGCAAAGATATTTACTGCCCCCACATAACCACTAATAGGAAATTATTAATAGGTACTTATGAGCATTACTAGTGACTGACAAACTACCTATTTTCTGGTTCTCAGGCTGCATGGTTTTCACTTAACCACAAATTTTCTCTCCCTGTAACTTATTTCGACTCAATCTCTTGAATGTACATACTGTTCAAGTGATGGAAGAAATTCAGCATCAAACAAAACAGGGATCACACTTGACTTCAAAAGACTTTTTAGGCAATGTATGGCTGAGATCTATACTGTGCTTCTGTATAGGTCACTAATAAGCTAGAAACTCTCATAAACCAATAAACTAACACTGATAATAGGAGGAAAACAAATTAAAAACACACACACATCCCTGGGAGGACCGCTGGCAAGGCCAAGCTTTAATACAGCACTGAGTTTGAGTCCCAATGACAGTCCAAACGTGCAGTAGTGATACTGAACACATACACAGGCTCACCTAAGTACTCATGAGTCACTTAGCAGTTAATGGACCCACCATAAACACTACACTCCATTTTCAAATGTCTAATATACAGTCTGTAAAAACCCAAATTGTAATCTTGTAACAGCTGGCCAACCCTAAATTGTACTAACTTCCAATTAACAGTGTACTCACGCACTGAGTGTGTGCAAGGATTAATGCCAGAGATCAAAGCTAGAGCACTGTATGTATTGTCTTTCCCCTGTAATACATCACCTCCAACACTGATACACTGGTATATCACTGATACTGGTATAAACTTGAAGAAATCTGGCAATATGTATAAGAGCCTCAAATCTGCTCTATCCATCTCACTTGGCAAATCCACCTGTAAGAATTTACCCTAAAGAAGTATCAGATGTTGTATAAGATTATTTTGTTGTATAAGAATATTTGTAGATAACAGTAAAAATTTAGAAAGAAAAAAGTAGAATTTCTATCAATATCTGACTTTAAAAAAACCAGACTACAAAATAGTATGTATACAATTTGGCTTTTAAAGTTTTTTTATGCTTTTATTAAAGGTTTGAGTGCATTTTACAAGGTAATATTAAGTGAATTCACTAAAATGACCTTTATTCTATTTTTTCACTTTAAAGTATTTTCTGTTTGGTCTGCCATCTAAAATATCCAGTGAGCAGGGCACCACATACCAGGGTATTTCTGGCCTTATACTTAAAAACTAATCCATTAAAATGATAATTTCTGACTGAGGAAAGTCACAAATAGTGATGCCTAGAGAACGAGAATGCTTCTGTAATCGAGTTATGCCTCATTATTTTATACAAAAGCTTTTTATAGAGTATAAAAATATATTCAGTTCAATATACAATTCTCATTTTATATTTAAATATTGTTGTTTTTAAAACCCTAATATTAAACAGCACTGTAGTAACTTTAGAATGTCATTTTTCACTGGTATTTAAAAAGCCTTCTAATTTCTATTCTTTCACTCATTTTTCCTGTACTCTCATGCATCAGTGATCACCTTAGATTTGATGTTTCACTGATATTTCAGTAATGTTCATTGCCAAGTAATTGGTTTAGACAAAGGACTATGTTAAAGGTAAACATCTTCCAAATACAATTACCAACACCAGTGGAGTCAGTTTAACTTCCAACACCTCCTTCCTCATCTCCTTGATCTCTGGCCGTCTGGAGGCCGAGGCTGAGGCTGCTCTGCGAGAGCTTCGTGGTGGCCGGCCTGGGGATCTGGAGCGGGACCGTGACCGGCTCCCTCGGCGTCTTGCGGGAGAACTGGAAGTGGAGCCACTTTTCCTCTGCCTGAAGGACGTCAGAGGCTAGAAGGGAAGGAGAAGGAAAGAGCTTTACCACAAACTGATGTGGGATGGGTAGAAAGGCCCAAAGATGTTCCCGTTAACTCTGAAACCACCCCAGGAAAAGCCATCAGATGAGGCCAGGGGGAAAAACTGCAATGTCAAATGATGCCTTTCCACTCCTAATTCTTCGTCGGCAGTTTTGCCATGACATGAATATATCTAACGCAATCAGCTACACACTCTCACAGTAACTACACAAGAGTGACGACTGACACTGATCAAACTTGAGCTGGTGAGACAGGAGAAATCTGCACAAGGACAGTCACAAACTAGTCCCACAGTCACTAGTCCCACTAGGCCCACAGTTTCACTCTGAACAGACCACACAGGCAGGTCTGGAGATGCTTACAAGTCTGAACACTTAACAACGTGCTAGTCCTGTCCTCACCCACTCGCCCAGACTTCCCAGGATCCGGAAGGCAAACCAACCACCCAGCCAAATTCCTCCCACACATATTCTGTGTGGTCCACCTATGACCAATATATAAATGGCTTTACATTTTTAAGTGCCTGACAACAAAATCACGTGTAAGACTTCATAACATGTGAGAATTATGTGAAATTCAAATTTCAGTGTCCATACGAAAGTTCTATAGGAACACACATTCTGCCGAGAGCTGCTTCTGTGTAGAACGCATTGGGTTTAAAGCTTAAAGGTTTACTGTCTCTGTATTCAAAAGCATTGCTACCTCTGTCTAGAGCTCTCAAACAGGTCAGCAGGCTAGGGGATTCAAGAACTGTTTACTACTTATCTGCAACAATTCAGAAAAGGGATGTAGAAATCTTCATAGCATCTGACAGAGTAATCGTATGTCTGGTGAATCTGATAATAAAAAGTTAAGGCTTTGCTTTTGCGCATCCTTTTTTTTCCAGTCGTCTACTAATTCATTTTCATGATAACGCAAGTATCTATACATCACACATGAGATTTTTTGAAGCCCAGGCTCCCCACAGATAGGTAAAAGGCCTTGCACTAGTAGGGTCAAATCGATTTAATGCCATTCTCTTGGTAATCGCTCATCAGTTATGAACACTCTCTTTAATATTCAGAGTGAAAAGACAATTACCAAATGGTCTCTTTCATGTATAGACTATAAATAACTAAGACAAATAAACTAACAAAACTTAACAAAAAGTAACTTTGTTAGGTTAAAAATGTTGGTTACCACAGGAAGGGTCAAGTGTGGAGGGGCCAATCTGACAGAGGCAAAGGCGAAAGAATTTTGATACTAAGTGAAGGGAGGCAGAAATACAGATTAAGGTGTCACACTGTACTCCAGAAATTTATATATGATTGTAAACCAATGCAATAAATAAAATTTTACTCAAAAAAACCTCTGGTGTTCAGGATGAAGCCCAAACTCCTCCACTTCCGGCTCCCGTTTAATCCTCCTCCTACCACACCTGGCTTCCGGCACTTACCTGCCCCACGCCTGCCTTCTGGGGCAACTGCCACCTCAGTCAAGTTACTCCGGTGTGTCCTCAGTGTTCAGCTCCTTCCCTACCTTCATGTGCTCCAAGACCATCCCGACAAGTTTCCACCAAAGCATGCAGGAAGCCGAGGGCTGGCCAGCATTCAGCACTGTCTCCTCCAGCAGCTTTCCCTGAGGACAGGGTCTGAGGCCTCCTTCACACATTCCAGAGCCAAAAACAGTGCCTGACTCTGAACACGGCCTTTGCCTCCAAACTGCCACTGGGCACTCTAAGGTCAAAACCAAACCAATAATCATCTCCCACTTCCTGAAAATATGCTTTGGGAAGCCGAAGGGGCGCTTACCTTGATGTCATTCTCTTTCAACTCAAGTTCTGTTCCATCTTTGTATTTTACAGTGTAAAGTTGGGACTTGCTGTCATGGCTTAGAATTTCTACTTCATAATACAGTGAACTCCCAGGCCACCGACCTCTTACCACTTCACCATCAGCAAATTTCCTACTTGGCATTTTCGAAAATTAGTCTGAATGGTTAAAAAAAAAAATGGAGTTAATTTGCACACACATTTGCCTTTTTTCATAGAATAAGCACAGAAAATACAACTTTCAACAATGTTCAAGACTGTAGGGGCAAAAAGGCCTCTGGAGAAAAAAAAATAACCCTCATTTTGGGGCCTCTCTGGTGGTACAGGGGTTAAAGTCTCAGCACCATCAAGCTATTGCCAGCCACTACTGCACGAGTTCGATCCCCAGCCACGGAGTGACCCACAGGGCGCAGCAGACCCCTCCCATCTCCCGCCGCTCCCCCTAGCAGTTATCTCAGTGGATCTGCCTGTTCTGCTGCCTGCTGTCTCTGGTGAGTCCTCTCCATCCCTCCTACCCACTGCGACTGTGGTCTACACCCCATAAATAAATAAAATTAAATCTTAAAAGTACTAAAAAACCCTTAGAAATGAGAAACAGAAGCTTAAAGGTATTAACTACTTTGTCGGAGGATATTAAAGCAGATGGGCTGCCATCAGAGTTATGACAACACAGAGGTTTCTGCTACATCACCTCCCATCATGTCAGAGGTGGCACGCAGCAAAGACCCGAAGATTAATCATGACAACACATGCAGACGCCAGTCCAGTCACCCTGTGCAGAACGCCACCTACCGCGACCACACTTTCTGCTGACTACCAGGCATAACCTCAAAAAGGACACAGCTCCTGATTTAAAATTTGCATAAAGGCTTCATTTTTTGACAAATTACCTTTATTAAAAACAGTAAACTCGGGGGGGGGGGGAAGTGCACAGGACTATGGTGATGGCACAGGGTGACTTGATGATGGGAAACCCACGGGGATTACAACTGAGATGAAAAAAAAATGTACAAAATTATGTAAAAATAAACTACTATATTAAAAAAAAAACCATAAACTCTATGAAACATACTGGGAAAATCAAGGATGTATAATTAACAATACAGTAACTCATCAATAGGGCCCACAAAGTGCTGTATAAATAATACTCCAAGAAGCACAAGCAATCTGTAGGGAATGCCTCTCATGGAGGCCTGTTTGCACCTTTTTTTCCAAACATCAACTGGCAACTCTTAGGTAGCAGTTTTCTCTCCCCTCCCCCTCCCATTTCCACCCACCCCAGTGCCTCTGCACCCCCAATATGCACTGAACTAGCTGGGGCTGGTCCAAAAAGCAGACAGGACCTTAGAAAAGATCTCCCCTAAGTCACCTTCATCTCAGGAACACCCCGTATCTCACCAGGATGTACAAATAAACAACCTTCACCAAGTTCCTGTCAAGGATGATTATACAACCACCTTAAGAACTTTTGAAGACAATGGGAAGTTAAGAAAGGAGAAAGTTACATCACCCAACTTTGGGGGTGGGGGGAGTCTTTCCTAAGTGCCATGTTTCTTCACTGTTAATCGCCTGAGAAAAAACTTAACAAGTTTCACCTGTTTAGATAGGCAGTCTAGCTCGGTGGATGAAAGAAAACAGGGCCACTTATCTGGCGATTAGAGGAGCTGTCTGCTAGGTAAGGCTGCTTCTCCAGCAGCTACCTGATAGCATCACTGAGATGATGAGTGGGTTTGGTGTTCGAATGGGAGGGAGAGGGGGAGAGAGCCAGAAGTTCCGGGCTGAAGTCAGCCGGAAAGCGCCCCCTGCGGGTGATGGGAAGCAGGGTAGTGGGTACCTTGGGGCGTGGGGAGGGCACACCACAGGAGCAACAGCAAGCTCTGCCTATTTCAACATATGGCTGCAAATACTATGAAAGAGGAAGGAAATGTCTCCTGCTCCGCTCTTCTCTTGTGCCCACCCCCCCATACCCCCAAAAATCAAAGCAGCCTTAATTGGTGCTAGTTCTCCAGCTGGAGGCACAGGGCTGGGAGAAGGCGAGATGCCATTCAAGTTTCAAGCAACTCGTACATACTTTTGAAACAGTCCCGGAGACGTATGAGCTACCAGATTTTTAAAAATGTCCTGAGCAGATTCTTTGCCTTTTCAAAAATTAACTTGTTGGCATCTTCCCAGTGTACCCACACAGTACCTATGCAACCCTAAACAAAGGAAAATGCCAAAGAGGTCTTCCTGCTACCAGCCAACCATCTGGGGCTGCGCAGTTATCTGGAAAGCAGGTTAGGCCTCTAAGGGCAAGACAGGGGGATGACAGTGAGGG